CAGCAACAAATCGGCCGCTGCGCGATGGAGCGAGAGCAATAAAAGGCCCGTCAGGAATCCTGTACAGACACCCTAAACCCTAAACCCTAAACCCTAAACCCTAAACCCTAAACACGGAAGCAGCTAGCAGAGGTAAACTAAAGTGGTTAGGGGGACAGCAACAACAACAACAACAGCAGCAGCAGCAGCAACCGCAGCAGCACCAGTACTACCAGCAGCATCACCAGCAGCAGCAGTAGCAACACCAGCCGCAGCAGCAGCAACAGCAGCAGCACCACCACCACCACCACCACCCGCAGCAGCAGGAGCAGCAGCAGCAGCAGCAACAGCAGCAGCAGCAGGATTATACTTGAGGTCTCTCCACGCATGTCTCTCCACAAGAAGCAGTGCGCTGTCTTCTGTAGCTAGCAGCAAACGAGGCTCTGACAGATTTTCTTCTTGCTGCAGCGACTCCCCGTGGAGTGTATACGCAGCAGCAGCAGCAGCAGCAGGAAGCAGGGGGCCCCACACGCCGCATAGACACAGCGGAGGCCCTCGAAGTGCTGCAGCAAACAAACAGCAGCAAACAACAAAATAAACAATATACTTCCTAATGTATACCAGGCTAATGATGATACTGCTGCTGCTGCTGCTGCTGCTGTCGACAACTAGCTGCAGCAGCAGCATCAACAGCAGCAGCAGCACCAACAACAACAATAGCAGCAGCACCAGCACCACCACCAACAATAGCAACATCAGCAGCAGCAGCAGCAACAGCAACAGCAGCAGCAGCAGCAGCAGGGTGTACGTACGCGGTGTCTGCAGCTGCAGCAGCCTAGCCTTGCGAAACGATTGATTAATAAAAATTTTATTTGTGCTCGTGACGATCGCAATCCCCGCCCCACACACCAAAGCCTAATTCGCACAAACCCTAAACCCTAAACCCTAAACCCTAAACCCTAAACCCTAACCCGTAAACCCCTAAACTCGAAACCCTAAACCTCAAGCCCTAAACTTAAAGCCGAGACCCTAGGCGAACCTTCCCTCCCCCACCCCTAACCCGTTAAACCCTAAACTCTAAACCCTAAACCCTAAACCCTAAACCCTAAACCCTAAACCCTAAACCCTAAACCGTAAACCCTCGACGCACCTTAATGATGCCTCCTTCTGCTTTTATAGCAGCGCCCAACGAAAAGCTGTAAATTTTTTCTCCGGCAGCAGAAAATGTGTGGACGGTGGCATCAGCAAAGACGCACACCAACACCTGCGCTCCAAACCCTAAACCCTAAACCCTAAACCCTAGATGCTGAGGGGTAAGGGGCGGGAAACTGTTGGGTACAATCAAAGCCAAACGGAGATATATAAACACCCAGCAAAAGGATTCGCTGTGAGTAAACAACTCGTTCTAGGGTTTAGGGTTTAGGGTTTATACCTCTTGCTCATTCCACTCCATCGTTATTAGACGAGAGAAGGTCCAGGGAACAGAAGAAATAAAGCGGCCCCGTGCAGTATAAAACTGAGCGCACACCGAGGGTTTAGGGTTTAGGGTTTAGGGTTTAGATAGGTGAAGGCTTTGACGTGGATATCTTGGCTTAGGGCTTAGGGTTGAGGGTTTAGGGTTTAGTGTTTGACGCATTTGATAAGGCAAATGCACCTTCATGCTCAGGCTTCCCTTTAGGGTTTAGGGTTTAGGGTTTAGGGTTTAGGGTTTAGGGTTTACCTGTAGTTCAGGGAGTTGTTTATGAGGGTTTGCGGGGCTACGTTGTGGTGAGGAGAGCACAGCAATCGGTCCGCCTGCTGCAGCAGCAGCAATATGCTGCTGCTGCTGTTGCTGCTGCTGCAGCACTTTCTTATCTTTCCAGAGCATGTCGTATATAATTTGTCGTCTATATTTTACGCCGGCCAAAGATATCCACTCACCGCCTTCTGTAAACCCTAAACCCCCTCTGCTGCTGCAGCTGCTGCAGCTGCTGCTGCATGCAGCAGCAGCAGCAGAACCAGCAGCAGCAGAAACCCCGAATTCCCCCCCAATACCCCAAGGAAATAAACCCTCGCGCTGCAGCAGCAGCTTCCTTGACATCATTTCTGCTGCTGCTGCTGCTGCTGTTGCTGCTGCTGCTCCTTCTGCTGCTCCTGCTGCAGCTGCTCAGGTTGCTGCTGCTGCTGCTGCTGCTGCTAAGGTTGCTGCAGATGTCTCTGAGGCGAGCGCTGCTGCAGATGCTGTTGCTGCTGCTTATCAGCGACAATGTAGCGCTGCTGCTGCTCCTGCTGCTGCTGATTCTGCAGTTGCTTGCGTAGTTGCTGCTGTTGCTGTTGCTGCTGCTGCTAATACTGTGCTTGTGCTGCGGTTGTTGATGATGCTTCCGTTGCTGCTGCTGCTGCTATTGCTGCTGCTGTTGTTGCTACTGCTGCTGCTGCTGCTGCTGTTGCTGGTAAAAACAAGCCTCAGCTCAACTGCTGCTTCTAAAGCAGCGGCAGCAGTGCTGGCAGCAGCAGCAGCTGCTGCAGCAGCAGCAGCAGGAGCTGCAGCAGCAGCAACAGCAGCTGGGGGCCCCAGTCGACTCAGCAGAAGCTAGCGCTGCTGCTGCTGCCGCTGCAGCAGCAGCTGCTGCTTAATATGTTTGTTGAAGCAGAGAAAAAGACAGAGAAATATAGGTTGAAAAGAGAGGTAGTCGAGAAGTGTACAAACCCTAAACCCTAAACCCTAAACCCTAAACCCTAAACCCTAATGAAGGGTGAGAGCTGCAGAAGAAGGAAGAAGAAGACAAATTAAAACCCTCAACCTCATTTAAATGAAGAGGTTTAATTATTGAGCAAAAAGAATATACTGAGGAGATGTTTGTTGCCGCCGACTCCTAAACCCTAAACCCTAAACCCTAAACCCTAAACCCTAAACTTCGGAGCTTAGTCGCTAATACATAGCCCTTCAATTTGTCTCAATATGCAGCAATGAATCTGAAAAGTGTTTTATTTAGAGTTTAGGGTTTAGGGTTTAGGGTTTAGGGTTTAGGGTTTAGGGTTTAGAGGCGGCTGGGAGGGGGGGCCTCCCTCCGCTGGTTTAGGGTTTAGGGTTTAGGGTTTAGATTATATAAGCTTTTCAGGTTTATCTTATTTTATTATTTTGTTTTATTTGTTCTTTTATTTATATTTTTATTTTTATTTTACTGTTATGTCGGCTTTTCTTCTATTTGTAAACCGCAGCGAGACAACGCCCAGCACAGACATCCCAGCAACTAGGGTTTAGGGTTTAGGGTTTAGGGTTTAGGGTTTAGGGTTTAGGGTTTAGGGTTTAAGGCTATAGTGAAGGCAGAAGCTCCAGTTATTTACTCTTCGTTGCAGCAGTGTGCCCAACACACAGCTGCAGAAACAACAAACCCTAAACCCTAAACCTTAACTAAACCCTAAACCCTAAACCCTAAACCCTAAACCCTCGGGTCTCTGGACTACAACCTGCGTTTATTTTCTTTTTAGTTTTTTATTGGATATACACCGCAGCATAATATTAACGCATGCAATATAAACAAAACATTTCTTTAATAATTTTTATATATAGCATGCAGATGTATATATATATATTATATATATGTATTATATATATAAATATATTTATATTTATATTTATATTTACTTATTTATATATATTTTTTATATGTGTATGGACGTATTAATATGTGTGCACAGAGATGGATACAAATATAAATATATATATAAATATATATATAAATATATATATATATGTATATACATATATATATGTATATATATAATATTTGTTTATATAATAATTAAATATAATATATTAATATTATACAAATAAACAGAATGTATATAAATATAATATACAGATATAATATACATCAATATATATAATATATAAATATAAATATAAATTATATATAACTATAATATAAATAAATATAATATAAGCATACAAATATATACATATATATATA